AATGGAGAAACGTAGCGACAATCTGGAGAAAAGTGGGTCGAAGATCGGCCAGGTTAACCGGCAGCTGAGAAGTTATAATGTCATTTACATTTCAAAAACCAGAAGCCATTCATTTACGAATGTGATTGCACTTTAGTTTACATATTTAAATGTTCAGATATTAAGATTTGAATGAGGCAAAATAACATGCTTTTTCTGTCAAATATATTGTTAGAATCATTTGTTTCAGATGTACTGTAATTATTTTCTGTGTAAAAATTAATTTGATGTTCAAAAAGTCTTTTTTCAAACTTGAGTCTTGAAAAAAAAAGGGGGTCGTCTTATAATCAGGGCCGTCTTATATTCGGGCCAATACGGTACTATTGGTATTCAGTAACACTGAAGTTCTTGACTTATGGAGGAGGACAGAACATGACAACTGAGAGGCAGACATGTTAACCGCTTGTCCAAGAGCTATATCGATGGATGAACAATTCGTATAGATCATCATGTCATCTTTCATTTAAAAATGCTCTATATTTTGCTCCTTAAAGCCCAACTGAGCAGCATGGCCATGACAGGAGGTCAGCCCTCCATGCTCCACCTGCAAAGCAACATGCAGCACAGCCCACTGGGAATCAGCATCATCAACACCCACAGCGGAACAGTGAGTTTAAGAATACCACATGGAAGGCTCGGTCATTATATCCTCTACGACAGGGGTCCCCAACCTTTTTTGCCCCACGGACCGGTTTATGTCAGACAATATTTTCAGGGACCGGCATTTAAGGTGTGGCGGAAATAATACAACAAAATAATATGGTATGAGCTGCATGAAAACTGTGGTGTTTTCGAAATATAATAATAAACACAAGGAGCGTCTAATCTGGCCGCAACACTCCAATCGCTATGGCAATGTTTAATGCCTTCAAAATACGATATAACGCAAATTCAAAGTGCATGAAAATGACGACTCACCACAGCACCGAGCTTGATTTTCTGCAACCAGACGGTCCCATCTCGGGGTAATAGGAGAGACAATGACACCGCAAGTGTGTGGTTTATGTCCAGTCTACTTCGTAATTTTGTTTTCGTCGCCGTTGCTGCATAATCCCCCCCGCCTCACACAGGTAGGATGTCGGAAATAGCAAAAGTGCTATTGTGGCGATCTCAGAGTATTCAGACATAACTTTAATCCAGTTGTCTCGAGCGTACTTTTAAGGCCGCCGTCATTTGCGATCTCCAGCAGTTTTTTTACTCATTTTGCGAGCTCCGGTGTTTGTTTTTAGCCTAATTGGCCGCGTTACGGAGAAGCGTGGCTTGACGTGTGTCAAGCTGGACACGGTTGGGGACCCCTGCTCTACGACACATACGTGGCGGCATTGTGTGCATTTATTTAATTTTTTTGCCTCACAGATGTCTCCGTTCTCCATGAATGGAATGCCCTCACCAGGGTACCAGTGTCCTACCTCAGTTTACCAGTCAGCACCACAGCAGGTGTACTCGCTAACCCAAACTGGACAACAGGTAACGCACATAAATGAATGCACCCTTGGTCAGACACTCATTAAAATACGTATAAATGCTCAAAACCCAGAGTACTGATTTGGGGACATCTAACTAACTAACTAACTAACTGATTTGGGGACATCTGAATAATCTGGCAAAATATTGTTATACATTAGCCAGCCACAACATAATGACCATTTTGTTGGTGTCAGGCCATCACCTCCTACATCACAATTTGGTAAATATATTTTTTTTCACTTTGGTCAAACCTCACATGTGTATGGATGTTAATTTGATAAATTATTGAGCAATCTAAAGTGTTTAAAAAAGGTTGGCTCTGATTATGAAATGTCACACTCTTAAAACACACTGGTTTAAAAGTAACCCAAATTTGGTGAAATAGTTTAGCCAGCGCGAGGTCCAAAAGGGAATAAACCAATGCTGGGTTATTTATACCCAACGCGTTGGGTTGGGTATTTGTCCCAGCACACTGAGCGAAGATTTGGATCGAACAAGCGGTAAAAACTCCCCATACTGATGAGGTAAAGCTAACAAGAAAAGCGTTACCAGCTAATCAGGATGTGGTATCTGTGGTTAAACAGTTTTATTTTCAGAGAAGAAGCAACTTTCCCATGTCAGGGGTCACGACAGCAAGTCACTGATGTTCGGCACTGTTTTTACACTGGATGCCCATTTCGACACAAGCTACCCATTTTTATCCATGCTCGAGAGAAGAGCTGGCTGGGAATTTGCATATGGTACAAAGAATGTGACCACTTTTTGCCATGACTGGAACGTCAACCCGGACCTTTGAGCCATCCTGCCACCACCAACATTTTCTAACAACGTAACATTAAATTTACTTGAAATTCAGGTTGTCCAAACAGAGACCAGCTTCAGTTCTTCAGCCTGTCCAAATGAAATCTTCAACCCAATCTGCTGCATAAATATAATAACACAATCCGCTCAAAATCCAGAGCTACCCAGTGAGTGGGTGAGGAAAACAACCTACCATTTTGTGATGTGTTAATTTGCAAAGGGTCATACAGTATTGTCACGGCAAGGTGGAGTCCAATGATAACCGTAACACTACCATCATTCTCTTTTTCCGTTAGTGCTCAACAGGCGGACTGTACAGCGACGTCTCTTTCAACAACCAAAGTCTATTTTCGCAACCTCGCCTGGCGCCACAAGAACAAGACCTGCAGCCAAAATGTTTCCCGAAACCCATCTACTCCTACAGGTTGGCTCCCATGCATCACCTCTGTGCCCTCATGCTCACCGCCTCATTCACAACTTCTTTCTCTCCTCAGCTGTTTGATTGCCATGGCTCTGAAGAATAGCAAAACCGGGAGCCTTCCAGTCAGCGAGATCTATAGCTTTATGAAGGAACACTTTCCTTATTTCAAGGTAAAAAAAAACCATTTCCTTTACTTTGATCATGAATCATGAACGAAAGCACGGCTCACACGACTCTTTTTCCTGCAGACGGCCCCGGACGGATGGAAGAATTCCGTTCGACACAACCTGTCTTTAAATAAATGCTTTGAGAAAGTGGAGAACAAGACGAGCAGCTCATCCCGAAAGGGTTGTCTGTGGGCGCTGAATCCAGCCAAAATTGACAAGATGGAGGAAGAGATGCAGAAGTGGAAACGCAAGGATCTCCCCGCCATCCGCCGCAGCATGGCGAATCCAGGTCAGGGACGAAATCACAGTGTTTTAAAAGATCCAATGCCATCGGCAGCTATAGGCTTTGAGTTACTCATCTGTCTTCTGTTTTAGACGAGCTGGACAAACTGATCACGGACCGCCCAGAGAACTGCAGGCGGAAGGCAATCGAACCAGTCATGACCCGGCTGCCCAGCTGCCCAACGGGCCTTTCGCTGACGGCCCAGATGCAGCAGCCCCAGCCCATTGTGACCCTCTCCCTGCCGTGTTTACCGATGCACCAGCACCATCAGATCCAAGCCCAGCTGCAGGCCCAAGCCCGCTCTGCACCGATGTCCCCGGCCCCAGCCCAAACCCCTCCCCTCCACGCGGTGCCCGAACTCTCCCATAGTCCGCTAACTCAGCAACCCAGCAAGCCCCCGGACGACTTTTACAGCGTTCACGTTGATAGCCACACAGAGGTGGATGCACTGGATCCCAGCATCATGGATTTTGCCTTCCAAGGTAAACTTGACCCATGTGCTGTTCCCTGCTATACAAGTCAAAATGATTAGAAACGTACATAAGAGCAATAATAAATAATAATAAAACAATGAAAACAAAATTAAAGTTCAAATAAATGAACTAACATCACATTAGTTAAATCTGAATTGAAAAAGCGAGTCTTGAGCCCGCTCTTACAAAATATGATACTATCACTGCAGCCCTGAGGTACGATACGAAACAGAAACAATAAAATCGTTACAATAGTTTGTGAGTTTGTGAAAAGGAAATCACTGCCTACCTTAGTAGAGACCTCACACAGAGGCATGGGACGCACTTTGGCAGCGTGCTCAGTGCAAAAACTTTAAAATGCTTCTCCTAGCGCTCCATTCTTTGCCACTGCCATCAGTGAATTGCAGATGAAAACAAACTTTGAATGACAATAATTCTAATAATAAAAGATAAAATAATAAATAAAAGCGATAACGCAACACCTCAAGCTGCAACTGCAGACTGCTGACCGCTAGGTTAAAGGTGATTTTTTTTTATTGTATTTTTTAAATAATTTTTTATTTGTATTTTTTTAAATACTTTTTTTGTGATCGTCAAACTGATAGGATACTTAGAGGGCAGTGTGCACTGACACCAAAATATATAATATTAAGCAACAACAGAAACAGAAATCAGTTCGCTGGCTACCGGTCAAAAAGTAGTATATTTAATGTGTGGAATAAAAGTGAGCTCAGAGATATCACTTTACACCAGTGGTTCTTAACCTGGGTTCGATCGAACCCGAGGCGTTCGGTGAATCGGTCTCAGGGGTTCGACGGAGCCTCTGCCATGGAGGTTAAGACACACCTGACTCAAGATGTCAATTAGGTATGACACGCCCGCTTGGGCATCGCTGGCTGCGGATGATCACATGACACTGCTTGTCCAATCGGTGCTGCAGGAAATTTAGTTCGCTCAGTCGCTACCGTGTGACTGTCGTGATAGTCCGTCAGACAATTAAAAAAAAAACTATACTTATGCCATGTAATTTTATTTACTTTTATTTGTTTTTCATATATGTGTTTTTTTCAATATCTTGAATTTGTAAAAAAAAAAAAAAATCACATTTTTATTTTTCTCGAATGAAGGGTTCGGTGAACGTGCATATGAATTGGTTGGGGTCGGTGCCTCTAACAAGATTAAACCTGTCCAAATGAAATCTTCAACCCAATCTGCTGCATAAATATAATAACACAATCCGCTCAAAATCCAGAGCTACCCAGTGAGTGGGTGAGGAAAACAACCTACCATTTTGTGATGTGTTAATTTGCAAAGGGTCATACAGTATTGTCACGGCAAGGTGGAGTCCAATGATAACCGTAACACTACCATCATTCTCTTTTTCCGTTAGTGCTCAACAGGCGGACTGTACAGCGACGTCTCTTTCAACAACCAAAGTCTATTTTCGCAACCTCGCCTGGCGCCACAAGAACAAGACCTGCAGCCAAAATGTTTCCCGAAACCCATCTACTCCTACAGGTTGGCTCCCATGCATCACCTCTGTGCCCTCATGCTCACCGCCTCATTCACAACTTCTTTCTCTCCTCAGCTGTTTGATTGCCATGGCTCTGAAGAATAGCAAAACCGGGAGCCTTCCAGTCAGCGAGATCTATAGCTTTATGAAGGAACACTTTCCTTATTTCAAGGTAAAAAAAAACCATTTCCTTTACTTTGATCATGAATCATGAACGAAAGCACGGCTCACACGACTCTTTTTCCTGCAGACGGCCCCGGACGGATGGAAGAATTCCGTTCGACACAACCTGTCTTTAAATAAATGCTTTGAGAAAGTGGAGAACAAGACGAGCAGCTCATCCCGAAAGGGTTGTCTGTGGGCGCTGAATCCAGCCAAAATTGACAAGATGGAGGAAGAGATGCAGAAGTGGAAACGCAAGGATCTCCCCGCCATCCGCCGCAGCATGGCGAATCCAGGTCAGGGACGAAATCACAGTGTTTTAAAAGATCCAATGCCATCGGCAGCTATAGGCTTTGAGTTACTCATCTGTCTTCTGTTTTAGACGAGCTGGACAAACTGATCACGGACCGCCCAGAGAACTGCAGGCGGAAGGCAATCGAACCAGTCATGACCCGGCTGCCCAGCTGCCCAACGGGCCTTTCGCTGACGGCCCAGATGCAGCAGCCCCAGCCCATTGTGACCCTCTCCCTGCCGTGTTTACCGATGCACCAGCACCATCAGATCCAAGCCCAGCTGCAGGCCCAAGCCCGCTCTGCACCGATGTCCCCGGCCCCAGCCCAAACCCCTCCCCTCCACGCGGTGCCCGAACTCCCCCATAGTCCCCTCCACGCGGTGCCCGAACTCTCCCATAGTCCGCTAACTCAGCAACCCAGCAAGCCCCCGGACGACTTTTACAGCGTTCACGTTGATAGCCACACAGAGGTGGATGCACTGGATCCCAGCATCATGGATTTTGCCTTCCAAGGTAAACTTGACCCATGTGCTGTTCCCTGCTATACAAGTCAAAATGATTAGAAACGTACATAAGAGCAATAATAAATAATAATAAAACAATGAAAACAAAATTAAAGTTCAAATAAATGAACTAACATCACATTAGTTAAATCTGAATTGAAAAAGCGAGTCTTGAGCCCGCTCTTACAAAATATGATACTATCACTGCAGCCCTGAGGTACGATACGAAACAGAAACAATAAAATCGTTACAATAGTTTGTGAGTTTGTGAAAAGGAAATCACTGCCTACCTTAGTAGAGACCTCACACAGAGGCATGGGACGCACTTTGGCAGCGTGCTCAGTGCAAAAACTTTAAAATGCTTCTCCTAGCGCTCCATTCTTTGCCACTGCCATCAGTGAATTGCAGATGAAAACAAACTTTGAATGACAATAATTCTAATAATAAAAGATAAAATAATAAATAAAAGCGATAACGCAACACCTCAAGCTGCAACTGCAGACTGCTGACCGCTAGGTTAAAGGTGATTTTTTTTATTGTATTTTTTAAATAATTTTTTATTTGTATTTTTTTAAATACTTTTTTTGTGATCGTCAAACTGATAGGATACTTAGAGGGCAGTGTGCACTGACACCAAAATATATAATATTAAGCAACAACAGAAACAGAAATCAGTTCGCTGGCTACCGGTCAAAAAGTAGTATATTTAATGTGTGGAATAAAAGTGAGCTCAGAGATATCACTTTACACCAGTGGTTCTTAACCTGGGTTCGATCGAACCCGAGGCGTTCGGTGAATCGGTCTCAGGGGTTCGACGGAGCCTCTGCCATGGAGGTTAAGACACACCTGACTCAAGATGTCAATTAGGTATGACACGCCCGCTTGGGCATCGCTGGCTGCGGATGATCACATGACACTGCTTGTCCAATCGGTGCTGCAGGAAATTTAGTTCGCTCAGTCGCTACCGTGTGACTGTCGTGATAGTCCGTCAGACAATTAAAAAAAAAACTATACTTATGCCATGTAATTTTATTTACTTTTATTTGTTTTTCATATATGTGTTTTTTTCAATATCTTGAATTTGTAAAAAAAAAAAAAAAATCACATTTTTATTTTTCACGAATGAAGGGTACGCTGAACGTGCATATGGATTGGTTGGGTTCGGTACCTCTAACAAGGTTAAGAACCACTGCTTTACACTCTGCTAAAAACACAGATCACAGAAAGCCAGATTGTTTCGTTGGATTAGAATACAGTACTCCGATAGTAAAACAAAAGCCAGCACACTTCACAAAGCACAAATATTGGTTTGACTGAGATGCAATAACAATTACAACTACATACGTTGATATTTAGTGCAAAGCCTTGACGTGATCAATCCTTCTGACCTCAGGTAACCTGTGGGAGGAAATGAAGGACGAAAGCTTTAACCTGGATGCATTGGGCACCTTCAGTAACTCCCCACTGCGACTATCAGACTGCGATTTGGCGACCAGCCTCCCTCCTCCTGCCTCCAGCGGAGCAAACCTGCCGCTGTCAGACGTCCAAGTGACGGGCCTGTACACTTCGTACACATCACAGGAGACCCTCTCCTCCCAGTACATGGGCTCACCGGCCAGCAGCAAACCCATCATCCTTCTTTAGAGCAATACTACTCTTCAACGGAGATGACTTTTTAAGGATGCTATCTGACGGGATACCAACCGAAGACATTCTTTTGTACAAATCAGCTGGGAAATTTCAAAAATAGGAGTTTGTGAAGTCCACAAGAAAACTGTTCACTATGAAAAAAAAAAGAGGCCGCAGAAAAGCATTTAAGACTTCACCATATCGATCTTTGCTAAGCAAAGCCTCCAAGATGCCTGTGGAAGTACACACAATACTTTGTGGAGGAAATGCCGAGTTTTTCTACTGCTGACTCTGTGTTCGAAAGCCCTTCGATAACTGTAGTTCCGTCCCTTGTCTGCTGTAATTGTAATCAACATTATTGCTGTGTTGTTTTATTTATATTTATACAAAAAAAAAGGCAGCTGGGGATTATGACTGTTCGTCAACCTTTTGCTGTATATATTTGAATGTTCAAATGGCTATTACCACAGAAAAGTTTTCTTTTGACTGCATTTATCCAACTCCATTCCAAAAGGCTGACATGTGCTATCACTTTGTAATTCTGATTTGACACCTTAAATATGTGATTAACATGTTGGATGGAATATTAGATGTGTGTTATGTTCCATTAAAAAAACAAAACAAGTTTCTTTTGCCAAAAATAAATTGGTGGTATTTATTAACACATTTGTTGACAAGATGACAAATGAGAGCTTATATACATTCATGTGAAACGATGGACTGGTAGATGGAGACAATTACATGAAGGCCCTGACATCCGCAAATGCACTCAAACAAAATTCTAGATGTCTGCATTGGGTACATTAGTCACTGATTACACCTTTTAATAGTGATGAAATTTGAAATGCGTCGTTTTTTTTGTTTTTGTTTTTTAATAAAACTTCAAATTGATGTTCGCACAATACTTTTTATGCTTTTTGTACGATATACACTGTTATACCAATTTTGCATCGTGCTAAATGTTAGCACTCCGAAATGAATGTTTACATAATCGTCAGAGAATGAGTGACTCCTTTGTACAACCAGCACCTACCTCAAATATAAATACGAAGATCTGTGTATGCTGAGAATGCAAAAAGTAACACCGCTATTTATGGATAAAGAAAAGCAGCCGTGCAATGTGCATTACAGTGAGAGTTTGTCAACCAAACGTGGCATCCTGGGCTGAAATACTCTTTCAAGGTCAGGCTGAAATGTCCTTACAGGACTGTTAAACTGTAGTGCACATACCGGTAGACAAGCCACGTTTGGTATTATCGTAGAGAAGAAGGCGTCAAACACTGTTTTAGGTAAACTGGTTCATAAATCCAATTCTTTACATTCCACCTTTAAGAGTAGAGGTGAACCTGGGAGAGTCCTTCAAAAGTTCTACAGTTCAGCTGGTGTTGCTGTTGTCCATGGTAGCAAGCAGATGAGAGAGCTTGGCCTTCTGTGATGCAGTAATGTTCTGGCTCATGTGGATGATGCAGTCCATGGCGACGTCAGGGTTGGACTCAACCAGACTTTGACACAAGGGCAAAGAAAATCAGTCAAGCAAATGTTCGATCGAATGAACACGCTTTTGAAGAGTTATAGCAGCTTTGCAAATAAACATAGTTAGATCGAAGAAAAAAAAATTGGCCGGGGTCATCTAGGATTCACAGGTGACAATTTTGGTATGCATACTCGATAGCACATGCGCGAAGGGAACTTTCAATGCTTTAAGAACCACTTCTGGTGGAAAGTAGGGATGAAATACTTTGTAGAACTGCTTCAATGGGAGGTATTCCTAAATGGTACTTGAAGCACTTTTTAATTCTTTAAACTTGAAAAGAAGTTGAACAACTTGTCCACTGGATATTTGTGATTCATTTTATTCAAAATTCATACAAAATACAAAAAAAAAAAATCCCAAAAAAAGAAGAGAAAACTGCCATTAATTTCATGGAAAATGCTGAATTGGCACATATAGGCCTTTAAGATAATCTGTACTTGGTTTAATACAATTTTTATGTATCAAAAGTTCTTGTGGTATCGGTTACTTGGTCTCAGTATTGGTGAGTATTTAAGAGTTGAGTACTCGTACTGGTAATGGTCTGGAAAAAAAGTGGTATTGAACATACCTGAAATTATACATAATAACAATACTAATCTGTGCAAGTTCCTGTGATGTGCACGTGCATACCTGCGGATATGTTTCAAGGCGTTTTCCCTTTTGAGGTACTTGATATTCTCTCGGATGGCAGATCGAGTGCCATCGTCTTTGGACCAGTGCCTTTCAAGCCACTCGACTACTGCTTGGTTATTATCCCACAGGTATGCCTGGAGGTGAAGTCAGAAGCACAAACTGGTTGACGATATTGACTAGACATGAAAAAAATGGGGGGAAAATTTTTTTTGCATGCCTGGATAACATTTTATTTTGTGGTTTAAAAAACATTTTTTGAATTCATTTGTGTGTGCGGGGGGAAGTGCCTAGAAATACAGATGCTGCAGTCACCAACCTTGACTGTTCCCTCCGTTTCAACAAACCAGCGGCGCAGCATGGACTGCATATGTCCATCACTGAGATCTTTGTTAGCCTGGAGAATCTCATACTTCACCACCTGCTCCAAAAGAAGACGCCTCAAACGCCAGTAGAAGAAAGGACGTGCATTCTTCCAATCCAAAATATCCTGAAAGACAAAAATTATTCTGAATAAATATCCAATGGCTTAATCAGGTACAATCGACTGCGATCCAATAAAAAAGCTGAATGAGAGAGTCTGCTCAGTATTTTTTATTTGCTGGGAGACAATATTATTATTACTGCTGTAGAACCTCTTGCCCATGATGAGGTATTTTAATGTTTTGGTTACCTTATGGGAGTAGCATTTTTTTCCCATGTATTGGATCTCATTAACTCTTTCATGCACCCCGTAACCTGATAACACGGTAAGCTGTCCACTGTAGTAACTGCTGTCTCTGAAAGGGTTAAAACAGGGATTGCCAAAAGTGTGAGCACACTTGTAAATCCATATTTTGCTCAGGTTCACCTTTCCATTTGTAGATTCTTAACCCTTTATTGTGGAAAAAAGAAATGAAGACTGTGTGTGCTTTTCTTGCTTTTTATGCTTGTGGGGGTGTGGGGGGTGTCAGAACATATAAACATTTTTCTATGCGTCCGGGGCCTGGAAAAGGTTCGAACCGGTACATTAGACTGTGCAGGTGTCACTAAAGTTTCAGAAAATGCGCTCACAGTGATGACACCTTTCTCCTGCATCCTGCCAGGAGTGTCGTGAAGATCCACAAACTGCACTGCCACCTGGTGGTAGATGGGCAACAGGAATTCCTCTCTTGCTTTGAGTTTCGCTTCCAGCTCTCTGCACTGCTTCTCAGGCAGATCTAGAGAAGCTTCAAGGTACACGTGTGCACATAAATGCCAGCAATTCATCTAAATACGTGTTTGCGTGTTGCTAACTCTGGGGGGAAAAAAGATCACTCACCAAGCTTCTCAACCAGACCAGCATAGACATTGTCCAGTCTTCTCATGGCTTTCAGCAGGTCCTTTTTCCTGAATTTGATCTCCACTGTGCCCTCAGCTTCCAGCACACCACCTCTGGACAGAGATAAGGACATTTCATGTGAAACAGACGATTGACAAGCACTCATTCGGCATGCAAGTCTGTTTCACACATCCTCACACGCAACCAAATGAATCATGCACCTGCTCTCTCTGTCAGCATATAGCTCCATACACAATGGGTTAATGGTGGGGTCAATGACGACCCAGGACCCTCCTCTCAATTCGGCATGTGGTGGAATGTACACCAGCACAGGCTGATGGAAACCACGAAGGGCATCCACGATGTAAGCCCCAAACTTTAATACCTGATCGTACATATCTGCGAGAAAGGAACGGAAACGATTCTCAATCACGGATAATTCAAATCCTATAATTACAATAAGAGGAATGCAATTCCCCTGCAGTGTACAACCCGCACCTTTCATTCCACCAGAGAACCCCCTCCAATTGGCAAACACCATGAGAGGCAGACGCTCACGGTTGAAGTCACAAATCGCCTGAGCTGTTTTAAAAGCTGAATCCGGAAACCACACTTGCCCAGCCTGTTGCAGGACCTGAAATTCAACACACAGATCATCGTATGGATATCCTGTATGTTAAATTGAATTACTCATTGGCAAAACAGTATTTCTGTTGGTTGAGACAGTGGCGTAGTGCGAGCAAAAAACATTATTCAGCATTGTGTTAAATAAACCTTTTCGGATGATCATAAGATAAGATAAGATAAGATAAGATATCCTTTATTTGTCCCACACTGGGGAAATTTACAGCCTTCAGCAGCAAGATTATGATGCAATGAAAGATTTTAAATAATCGATTCAATCTATTATTCAATTAATCAGATTTTTTTAATGCTTTGCATCTGTTTATTCAAAAACAGGACATTATCTCAGACTGACAGTATAGAAAAATGCACTAACATGAATTAATCATGATTCAGTTTTGGCTCCAAACATGCCAGAAAACCCGCCAAAAATTTGAGAATTGTTTTCCAAAGTGAAAGCAGTTTTCAAATGCCTTGTTTTCATTCAATGCAAATAATAATCGGTCAGCTTTCATGGAGGACTGCATACATCTAACAATATTTCCTGCTGAGACGCTAAAATGCCAAGGATTTTACATTTAAAAAAAAGGTCTACTAAAGAATTAATCAATTCTAAAACGTCTCACTTAATTTGGTATTTGATTGGATGCCAATTCATCATTGCACCTGTAATAATTAGTGTCATAACTGAAAAACTAAACTCCAACCAAATTGCGCCTCGTACAATCAAAACAGAGCATTATTGACCTGTTCAATACATGGCCCCATGGATACTCACTTTTGATTCTGAATCCAAGTTGGCTGGATCAGCTGGTACAGTTAACTCAACAGTCCGAGTTTCCACAGCAATGACGCCGAGCGGGATTCCTCCTAACCTGTTTGATTTTAGCCGGCAATGGATGGTTAACATATATTCTACAGTGCTTTAAACTAATACCTACAATAATACAAGAGATTTACCGTGCTCTGCCCACGACGACAGTTTGAGCCCAGGAGCCCATGATCTCCATGAAGGAGCCATGGTCAAAGAATCCACTCTGCCAGGCACCTTTCACCACTAGGAATAG